CAGGGGAGGAGCAAGTCAGAGCTGTGGGTTAGAAAGATGGCTCTAATAGCCTCCTGGACTCTTCTGGCCTACAGAGCCTGGTGGTTAAGTTCAGGCCCTGCCACTTGAGAAGGGAGATGGGACAGAGATAGCTGCAAGTGTCCTGAGGGCCTGGAGAAGAGGACACACAAGATTCTGTGGTTAACAGGGGAGGGTCCCACTGACTCTCCTCCTCTGAGGGATGCGGGAAAGAGGCAGTATTTGAGCTGGGTCTTGAAAGATGAATAAGAATTCAATAGACGGGAAGACAGAGAAGAGCAATCAGGCACAGGAGAGAGTGTGCAAACCTAAGGGGAAGGAAAGAAGACGGCCACGAACGCCCTCCTTCAGGCCACGCGAGGGCCTGGATAGTATCATTTACGTCTGTGTTTCCAGTGTCTAGCACAGGGCTCGACGCAGAGAAGGCATCAGTGAGGACGAAGTGAGCGAACGAGCCAGTGGTGCACTTGGTGATGGAAAGAAGCCCAGCGTGAGCAGAGCTGGCGAGAAGTTACACGTGGGGCACGGCGGCCTGGGGAGGATTCAAAGAGAAGAGCTTTGGAATTTTAGGTGTGGCTAGGTCGGGGACTCCCAGCTACACTACACTCCCTGAAAGCTCCCTGGAGCTGTGACATGGCCTCCTGTGGGACACTGGCTGCTGGCTTGAGGCCATAGCTCATTCCCAGCCTTACAACTTGTTCCCCAAGGGCTGTCCCTTCCAAATCCCATAAAGATGGCAAACTTAATTTCCTAGCTGAAGACCCAAATACATGTTTTGTTTGTTTGTTTGTTTCTGATCAGCAAATGTATTCATATGGAAAATCAACTGCTGTGACTCCTTTGTGGAAGAAGGCAGAGCATGAACAAACAAAAACACTAAATACTTTACAAAAGTCTAAGAACTTAATTTATTTTAGTGTGCATGTAATGAAATCCCTGTATTAAAAAGAACAAAATAACCCAAATCAGTGCTGTCCTGGAAAACCTAGGAGAAATAGTTTCTGTCCATAAGACAAGATGGGACCAAGAGCAATAAAAAGTCCGCAATGTGCCCTTGGCATGTATTTTCTCATTAAACACTCACAACCCTAAACAGAAGTTTCCATCCCTATTTTACAGATGAGAAAACCAAAAACCAGGCCATAAACCTTGCTGGCCACTCTGGAAATACCAAACTCAAGAGGAGAAGGATGGGTCCAAGGGCAGCAGTGACAGACTGTTGGGGAAGCACACTGTACAGAGGAGTGAACACAAGCTTTGAAGTCACACGTGTCTGAGTTTTTTTTTTTTTTTTTTGCCACATGCTGGCTGTGGGGCAGGTCAGTTTAGCTCTCTGTGCCTGCCTCATTTATGAAATGAAGGTAATTTAACCTATCAGGCAGGGTCATTGTGAGAATGAGATCATGAACGTAGAGGTCAGTGAGTGTGTGCTTCCTCTGGGGGACCTCACCGACTACTGCGGCTTCAGCTACCATCAGATATGCTGATGACTACCAACTCCCCACTCCCCGTCTGATCTACATGCTGGGCTTTGTGCACATGCCCCCTGCAGTAGGCAGCTCTCCAAGTTAGTCTCAGTGATCCCTGCCTCCTGGTATCACACATTCGTGTAAGCCCCACCCCTTGAGTGTGGGCCTGACCTGGTATTTCATGTGTCAGAATAGATTAGGGCAAAAACGACGAGATGTCGCTTCTGATGTTTGATTATAAAAGGCTGTGGCTTCCATTTCATTTGAATTCTCTCTCCAACTCTTCCCATTTACTTGCCCTGATGAGGTAAGTTGCCACGTGTGAGCTGTCCTATGGAAAGGCTCACGTGAGGGTGACCTCTGATCAGCAGACAAGCGACTGTGACCGTAGCTCCAACAGTCCATGGGTAACTGACTCCTGCCAACAATCACGTGAGGGAGTTCGGAAGCAGATCCTTCCCTGGTTGCATCTTGAGATGACTGTGGCACTTTCTGATGCTTTGATGGCACCCTTGGGAGAGACCCTGAGCCAGAGGACCAGGCTAAGTCATGCATGCCAGGGTTCCTGACTCAGAGAGCTGTGAGATAATAAATGTGTGCTGTGTTAAGCCACTGAAACTGAAGGCAATTTTTATATGCACAATAGAACACGAATATACCTCCTAATATCGCTTGGCATATTCATTTGTATGTCATTCATTTGCTGTTCATTTGGTCTCCAAATGTTCATCGAGAATACTATGTGCCAAGCATTGTGGTAGGTTTTAGAGATGTTATTAATGTAAATGTTTCAGAAATTGTATGCTTTATGGGAAGGGCCCCAGGATTTGTCAATGCCCTCATTGCCTGTAATATTTTATTACTCTTGGAGGAAACATTAATCAAACCCTTATGAAATAGTTATGCACTGTACCTTACTCCCCTCCATTCTGATACAATTGGTTGCTGTATTAAGTTAACAACATATTGTCATCTATAGGTAGGGTCTCTTCCACTCTGATTCTTGCCTAGAGGCTTCGCTATAAACTACAGGCTAGAATTTGTGTCTTCAACAAAGAATAACAGTCTCAGGGGCATAGAAACGACTTACAAGGTACTATGAACATTTGGAGGTACAATGAACATTTGCTATTTCAAAAGATAGACCCTTGGGTATAGGTTTTCAGGCTGGTATCACTTAGGCAAATTTCCCAATGTACTGAGTAGACTGAGTCAGGATTCCTAGGACTCTGTTCAGACTAGAATCAGGCGGATTCCATGATATTGACTGCTGACCCAAGATTCAGCAGAGCAAGGGTTAATCAGGTAGAATTGAATGAACTGATGAGGTTATTTGTTTGATCACTGTTGCTATTATTTTTAATGTTCTATTTTTATGGATACATGAAACAACCCTTTCTCATCTCAAGCTATCTGCAACATCAATTAAGTAGATACTGTTTTTGTAAACTAAAATAAAACACTTTTATCTTGTGTCTGATTCTTATTTACCCACAAGAATTCAGAAACTCAAATTAGTCTCCTTACTTTTCATAGCAACATAATTATTAGCATACATTCAATAAAAATCTGTTTTCTTTTTAGCCAATATATACTTAATATAATTGTTATATGATGAAAGTCATATTTGAGAATTAATATGTCTTAATCAGGCACGGTGAGCTAAGGGTTGACTTTACACGTAAACTAACCTCTTCAAAGCCTTCCCAGGAAAACCGACCTGGTATCTGGCTTGCAAGATCCTGACCTTACAGGTGGTGAGGAAACTCACTTCCTGACCAGCGGGAACCTTTGTGAATTTTGGACTTGATCGGAGAGGAGTTCATACAAGTTAATAGGTACTGCAGGTAAAATATGAAAGAGAATTTCCTGTGCTTGGTTTTCCATCGTCAGTATAGCAAGTGGATTTTAAAAATCCAATCTGAGATTCCTTAAGAAAACTTCCAGACAGAAGCTAATTCTATTGCCCGTCCTCACTGAATTGATAAAGGATAGAGCTGGAATTGGAACCCTAAAGCCTGACTCTGGAGCCTGTTATACTACACACTACTGCCAACAATCTTGTGAAAAGATGTTAAACTCACTGGCAACCAGGGAATTGCAAATGAAACAAAAACAACGTTAAAGTGGATAGAAACATTAGAATGTTTGAGATAAGCAATATCGAGTGTTGGTGAGAATGAGAGGTTGTTGATTGGTATAACTATTTGGAAGAGTAATTTGGGAGTTTCTAGTAAATTTAAAATTTCTTTGAATCTACAATCTGTGTAGTCTACTTCTACACATAGATCCTAGAAAAATACTTATATATGAAGAAATGTCCAAAGACACTTTTTTTGCAGAATTGTTTAAATAGTGAAAAATTGGAAATAAACAAAAATATTCTACAATAGGGAATTAGATAATAAAATGTAGTATATTCAGATGTTTGTTAAAGGGAAAGAGTTAGCCCGATAATGATCAAACGGGTAGATGTCAGAAACGCGATTTAAGTTAAAAATTTTCAGGGTTATATGATATCTATTTATTGCTCATGGATACAGTTACACATAAGTAAGTTTAAAAACAGACTGAATATACTTCAGTTTAATGATAGAGGTTGATTCAGGGGAGTTGGAAATATTCAAAGGGCCTTTCAACTTTATCTGTTATTATTTAATTTTTTTAAAAAAAGAAAGAAAAAGACTAAATATGGCAAAATATTAACAAGTGTTTATTTTGGAGGGAGAAAATGGAGTCTTTGTTATATTATTTTCTGTGATCTCACTCTGTCTCTGCATCTCTATCTCTTTATCTCTGTCTCTATCTATTTAGATATGTATGTATATAGATGAGTGGATACAGATGTGTATTATACGCATGTATATTTTTCTTTTATGAAATACGTCTATATGTTTTCTTAAAATAAAAGTGAAATTTAAAATGTGAAGTTTAAATTGACTAGGTAAGAGTTAGTTTTACAGGCTGAGCCCAGACTAGACTAATTATTAACCATATTGCTACACAAATATGTCTAAAATAATTGTAGCTCACATTTTATAGCTATGCTAAAAAGCAATGCTAAATACTTGTAAGTGCTTGTCAGACAGTAACACAAGACTGTCCCTGCATAATCTGCCTATTTACTTGTATCATTTTTCACCCCAAATTCCTTTACACTGTAGAAAAGCATGTGTGCATTTTAAACATTTGGCTGTTATCATGTCAAACAGACATGAACTTCCAGAGGTAAAGAGAGAATCCAGGACAGACAATAAAGCAACAGTCATGAACCGCAGGGACATAGTCTTTGTAAAGAAATCCTTTGCCTTCAACACTCAACTGAATTTTGGGGAGGTGGCAGCTGAAAATTTTCCAACCAATGAAGAGGACCTTCAGTTTAGGCCACAGCCTCTCCTGGCTGCTCACAGCCCCGGGAACACTCAGGTTGGTCAGAACCTATGCACTTCTATGATACCGGATGAGCCATATCCAGTCTGCCCATGACTCTGGATGACTGTGAAACACGCTGAGTCATTGAGCTGTCCCTATGTCTCCAAGTACTTTCAGAAAGGCCCCCTTGACGTCTTTGTTCCTGAGGCTGTAGATGATGGGGTTGAGAAAGGCAGAGACAACATTGTAGAACAGGGCCAGCATCTTGTCCTGCTCTGGGTCATACCAGGAGCTAGGTCTCATGTACATGATCATGGCGGGCCCATAGAACATGGTGACCACAGAGAGACAACATTGTAGAACAGGGCCAGCATCTTGTCCTGCTCTGGGTCATACCAGGAGCTAGATCTCATGTACATGATCATGGCGGGCCCATAGAACATGGTGACCACAATGACATGGGAAGCACAGGTGGAGAAGGACTTGAGTCTCCCGTGGGATGAGTGGATTCTTAAGATGGAGGCAAAGATGCGCACATAAGAGGCCAGGATGAGGGAGAGTGGGACCAAAAGGAAAACAAAACCCAAGATGAAGTCCAACTGGTCATTGAGGGATGTGTCTGCACAAGCCAATTTTAGGACAGCAGGGACCTCACAGAAGAAGTGATTGATCTTATTGTGAGGGCCACAATAAGGCAGACGCATGGTGAAGACAGTGTAGACCAGGGCCCCACCTATGCTAATGAACCAACAGACTGTGACCATCTTGATGCAAATGGGATGGCTCAAGAGTAGGGTATAGTGAAGGGGGAAGCAAATGGCAACATACCTATCATAGGCCATAATGGCATACAGGACACACTCGGCAATGCCCAGGACCAAGAAGATGAACATCTGGGCTACACAAGCTCCCCAGGAGATGGCTCTCCTCGGATGTACCATATTAACCAACATCTGGGGCACAGTGGTGGTGACATAGCTCATGTCCACCAAGGAGAGGATACTGAGAAAGAAGTACATGGGTGTGTGGAGGCGTGAGTCCAGGTAGACCAGGGTGACGATGAGTCCATTGCCCAAAAGGGTGATGAGGTAGAGGAGGAGGAAGAAGGTGAACAGGGCTGTCCTGACGTGTGGCTCACTGGAAAAGCCAAGGAGGATGAACTCGGACACGGAGCTGTGGTTTTCCTTGCCAAAGCTCTGCATGGTGATCAGCCTATTAAGGAGAGACAAGGACTTCTTGTTCTGTCCTTGGCCTTGGGAAAGGAAAGACAAGGTTGACAGAAGCTGAGCCACACATGCAACACCATGCACAGCAGCTTGCACAGATTTGATCAAACTTCTGCTGAGTTGGATGAAAAGGGAAAGGGAGCTGGAGCAGCTGAGGTAATGGGCAGTAGGTCAGAAGATCTGGATTCAAACCTGTAAGAGAACATAAGATGCCTGACTGTCCTCAGGTCCTTCTCTGGAAACCACCCTCAACCAGAGAAGACAAGGCATTAGGTAGCCATGTTTGTAGCAGAGAACCCAGCCAACCCCCAACCACTGCTGAATTCCACCAGGGGTGCACACTCCTGCCAATCTGGGTAAGCAGATGCCTCTGCTGAGAATTTAAAATTATGACATGAAAGTCTGTGTCAGTGCACTGTGAGTGCTTTGGGATACTGTCACCCAGAGCTGATGTGGTGGCAACCTACAGTCACAGGGGAGCTGAAGCTAGAGAGCAGAAGAAAAGTGGAGGTCCTCAGAGATGATAAAAGATGTGCTGGGAAGCAGAGGGGAGAGGCCTCACAGATCTGGCACCCAAGAAAGTAACCCTGGTTCCTGGCTTGCTCTTCCCAGTTCTGCTGAGGGCTGCTGGGTTTTGTTTCCTGTACTTGGATATGGGTGGGATTTTCCAATGAATCCTTACAATTACCACCCCATGACTGCATTTTTAATTCAGCTCTTCCTGAGTGTCTCATTGTTATCACTTATCCAGCTGTGTGAACTTGGGCAAGTCCCTTCACATCCATTGGCCCCAGTCTCCCCATCTGTTAAATGAAAATGAAGCATCTATGGCACAGGGTTATGGCAAGAAGCATATGAGATACGTATGTCAGGACATCTTGCAAAATAGAAAACTAATCGAAGGGGTTGTGTATGTGCAAGGAGTCTGGAAATCAGAAGAACTGGGCACTCATCCTGTCTCTGCCCCTGATTTTCTGTATGGTCTTGGGTAACTCCATATCCCTCTCTGAGCTTCATAGCCCCATTTAAAAAATTAAGCTGGTGGATCTGATGATCCCAAAGGGCCCTTCATCTCTGATATTCTTTGATACCAGGACTGCCAGGCTGGAGACCATGATTGCATCAGTGCCTTGAGCACCAAGGGGAGGGCTGAGCTGAGCAGTCAGCTGAGCACGATTGTTCTGGCAGGAGACTGATACCAGGAATTAGAGATACAAGCCCAGAGCACTGGAGAGTACACGGAGCACAGACTCAGGAGTCAACACACCTGTGTCTGGCAGCCTCTTTACCTACCCCCCGGTCACTCAGCCTCTCAGAGTCCCATGTTCTTCATCTGTAAAATGGGGGTAATATCTCCTCCATAGTGGAAATTGCCAGAAATATACCTGGTTTACAGAAAGTGCTCAATAAATGGTAGCCATTTAGATCATGGGAAGGTGGGTGGAAGGAGGAGTGGAGAGAGGACCAAGGAGGTGCAGCAGCATTCTAGAGCATCTGAGGTTCCAGAGGACAGGGCTGGAAATGTGACTGTGAGGACTGATTGCCACGAGAGGATGAGGGAGGTCTGGAAGGCAGAAGAGTTGTGTGAGGCTGAATGGGCAGAGGTAGACAGTGTGATCTGTGTGTTCTGAACTTTAAGGAATGTCAATAACTGAGTGAAGGAGAAAAATGTCCCAGATAAGAAATGTTTGTGAAGGTAAGAGGACAGCTCAGGGTTTGGGACATTGACAGTGGAAACTTTCAAGAGAGAAGGATTGGTCTGCAGTGCAAATGGCAAACCCGACTCCAAGACGACCAGGGCTGGAATGACCAGTCCACACCGAAGACCCAGACGTGTGCGGGAGCTGCTACCGGCCGCCCTTCCCAGTCCACCCACCAGCAGATACTGTTTCCTCTGTTACACCTTCTCACATCCCCTTAGACGACGACCAGGGCTGGAATGACCAGTCCACACCGAAGACCCAGACGTGTGCGGGAGCTGCTACTGGCCGCCCTTCCCAGTCCACCCACCAGCAGATACTGTTTCCTCTGTTACACCTTCTCACATCCCCTTAGACTGGAATTCAAGGCCATTCTCAATCTGGTTCTAACCGGTTTTCAAGTCTACGTGGTTCTTCAGAACCTCAGTGAGACTTTTGAGCCATGATGCTAACAGCACGGTCACCAAAAGATCCTAGTCTGGGCAGCAGCGTCTCCTGCTCGCAGAGCCACAAATCTTCCAAACGAGCTGCTTTCTCAGTAGCTGCCATCTAGGCCCGCCACCCTCTGCTTGCTGTGCCTCTGCTGGGAATGCTGCCACCAAAAGATCCTAGTCTGGGCAGCAGCGTCTCCTGCTCGCAGAGCCACAAATCTTCCAAATGAGCTGCTTTCTCAGTAGCTGCCATCTAGGCCCGCCACCCTCTGCTTGCTGTGCCTCTGCTGGGAATGCTGCCCGTTATCCTCTTCTTCCTCAGATCCCACAACCTTCGAGACCCAGCTTGGGTTTCCCTCCTCCTTACCTGACGGGTCCAACCTTGTTTATTTTATGAGTGTATCGTCTTTCCATCCAGGCTGTAGGCAGAGGCTGTGTCTCTTTTAGATCTCTCCACAGTATCTAGCACAAGGATGTCATGTGCTCAGGGCTCAGCAAGGCCTTGGGCTCATGATTGTGTCAGTGCCCAGGGAAGGATACATAAAAGTCCACCCATGTCAGGCTATAGTAGAAATCGCAGACTGCTTCTGGAGCCCCATTCCAGGGCTAGTTTTCCCTGCTTCCAGATCAGATTCTGATCTGCCTTATACCAAGCTAATGAGTGGCAGGACCAGGATGAAAACCCGGGTCTCTGGCTGCACAGCCTGCCAGGCTCTTGCCTGCTGTGCTCCGCTGCGTCTTGCAAAGGCACACGTAAAGAAACAACCACATCAAGCCCTCGTACTAGGAAGACTCCGTATTCATATCCATCCTCCTTTCTCCACCTGCCACTGTTTTGCTGTCACCTCCCAGCCTCTGTGCTTCTGGTAGAGAAAGGAGAGGATCCTTGTCAGGGCTCCCACCAGAGAACCCTCAGGACACATTCTGGGTGCAGGTATGGGAGGGTGCTCCTGAGAGGGACATCTGCAAGTCTGGAAATGACGATGAAAGTGAGCAGGACAGATAAGACTAGAGTGGGGCTCCTTTGTCTGTTTTGGGGCATGCCCAGGGAAGAAAACTCCCCCAGCCCCTCCCACAATACCACCTACAAATTTCCAGCTTGTTCTTCTGCTTGAGTGGCCTCCTTCACTCCTGTGGCAGCAGCAGCAGCTGTTTTCTCTTGGTTTTGTGTGGTACGTTATAGAAAACAGTTCGTTCTCTTCTCCTTAGCACAGTGGCTCTACAGGGGAGATCTATGCCTCTCCTACAAGTATTGGACCCAGAGCAGCCTTGGAGGGAGGGACTCCCAGGTGGCAGGCCCAGAGGCCCTCTGTATCAGAATGGAATTGGAGAGTAGATTCCAGCCCTGAAAAGCCCTGGGGATTCCCTGCCCATGCTGGTAAATGCAGCATAGAGCCCCTGGGCTGAATGGAAAACACAAGTAGGAAGTTTAATGCTCCCAAGATATTTGTGGATTAGAGCTGACAAGCGGGTATCCTTCTGAAGTTTCCATTTGAGAACTGAAATGTCTTCCCACTGAGACTTACAAGAGGGAGAGGTCCTATGGCTGAGCTGCCACATCCCTGTGTGACACAGTGATAATACTAATAAGATGTGCTTTGTCTCCTTCCAAAGCATTTTTGTGTGCCTTTTACATCCTCAGGCATCTTATCTAAGGTCACAAAATTAACAAAGGTAAAACTAAGGCTTAGGTATAAACTTATACTATATTATATTATTCACAGGGGACATAAATATATATTATATCGTATTATATTTTTCACATGGGACATGTTCCAAGACCTCCAGTGAATGCCTGAAAGCACAGATAGTCCAGAATCCTATATACATTATGTTTTTCCCTATATGAACACGCCTATGATAAATTTATAAATCAGGTATGGTAAAGGCTAACAACAACAGGGGCTGGCTGGTTAGCTCAACTGGTTAGAGTGCAGCCTTGTAACACCAAGGTCAAGGGTTCAGATAAAAAAAAGATTAAAACAATAACAATAGAACAACTATAACAATGTGCCAGCATCATTACTCCTGCATACGGGACCATTGTTAAGTAATGCAAGGGTGACTTGAACACAAGCACTACAATTCCACAGCAGTCGATCTGATGACCGAGAGGCTACTCAGTGACTAAAGGGCAGGTAGCGTCTGTGGTGTGGATATGCTGGACCAAGGGACGATTCATATCCTGAGGGGATGTAGTGGGAGGGTGCGAGATTCCATCACACTACTCGGAATGGCATGCAAAATCCAGACAGGCTGAATTCTGACTCCACCACTTCCTAGCCATATGACTGTGGGCAAATCACCAAGCTTCATTTTTTATCATATTCAGAACAGAAAACAATGCTGCAAGGGTTAAGAAGGTGCATGCATGGTGCTTAGCATAGGTTCTGGTACACAGAAGGGCTCAGTCAGTGGTAGGTCCTATCCTGGCAGCAGTAAGTGAGAAACTACTAAGAGTCAGCCTAGTTCTTCCCCAGTGGGAGTCAGGACACCCTGCTGTAGGGCAGGAGCCTGGATGCCTGTATCCACAGAGCAGGGCCTCTGCCCAGGACACACATGTCTCAAGCAAGTGGAGGAGACAGTGCCTGCGTGGTGGTAATTTCCTTCCTCCCTAAACGAGGGTGAACCTCTTGAATCTGGCATCCTTGGGATCTGAAGCAGAGATTTAATGTCCAAGACGGGGCTGCACATCCATAAATAAATAAGCAGGTAAGGGAGTTTTAAAAGATGGCACATGTCTAATGCGCCAGTGCTGTGCCTACTGCTTTAGTAGCTGTGATCTCCTTGAATCCTAATCTGGATTCAAATTCCAGTCTGGTCTTTGCTAGCAACTCAGGCAAGT